ATCTTAAAAGTGTTTTACAACAGTTTATAACATTGTCATCCAACATGAGTCATACATCAACTCTTCTTTTTCACGTCTATTCATCACACCGTTTCATATCTCAATAGCCTTGCGTTTTGTTCCTAGAGAAGCCCAAATAAGTAGTTGAAAAACTACATAATTCATAAAAAAATTCCTACAAATTCATGTATATTATCTATTTCATTAATAGGGAATGCCAAGTTCTTTGCCTAGTTTTCTCCAATCCGCATATTGCTTCAAACATGAGAAGAACCAGACTTAGATATCTCCACTGACTAACATTTGTATGACATAATGTGTCATCAACGATATAATGTGTGATATGCTTACCAAGTTTTGATGCATAGTTCTCACCTTATCATTGCACTTCAATCGGGTCACCATCGCTATAAAATGCTTTTGTACTCTGCATCAAGACATTCTTATTAGTAAGCACATCAACATAACAAATTATTGTCTCAAGTATTAAACACACAACTTTGAAGATATGACAGATAGCACCATAAGTTATTGCCAAATAAGATGAGTTAGACATTTCATCAAATATCACAGGTGCATAGTAGAAGAAGTGTTTTCCAATTATGAAATGTATTTTAACTGGTTGGAATTGTCACAAACTTGCAATGCGAGTGTTTTGAATTTGCTAAAATTGGCAAGTGTCATAGTTATGGGGAAACTGCTTCAGATAGAGCCACCGCCACCACCGAGAATTCTTCCTGCTAGTTCACTTCATTTAAAAGAGCAGCAACAATTTATATATGCGGCGAAAATAAGCAAAAACGCATAAACATCATATTTGAAAGAAACTATCATCGTTGATGAAAGAAATCACAAGGAGCAGGAAAACTAATAACAAATCTAATATGATTCTGGTTCTCTTATGTCCCGTTCATTCAATCAAAGAAGAATCCATGCCAGGGCTAGTGCCAGCGCATAGTCAGAGTCTTTTCCCTGTGTGCCTAACATCCACTCCTTCTAGTCAACTTCCTTGCGGCGTCTTTAATGATGAGAGAAGGCGATACCGAAGACCTATCAAGAAGGTCAAGTCTTTCACTACCATAGTAGTTTCTAAGTTGATTTGTTCACTTTGTTGCGGACAATGCTTTTCTCTACACTTCTCAAAGATTTTTCAAGATTTGCTTATCAAAAAAATTCACTTCGAGCACCATTTTTTTTTACTTAAAAGTGTTCATCTCAGAAAGCTACCCAATATATCCCCTCTGTACACAAACTAAAGAGACAACTTAAATTGGGAGCAGAGAGTAGCAGGTTGGTGAAAAGAATAAATAAAGTAACAATAGATTCATAGCTCAATAAAAGAATTTCAAGTTAAAACAAAAATTAAGTTACCACACGTATTTGAAGTAGTTCTCCACATCTTCTCTAATCAAAGCAAGTTTATGAATTTGCAACATTAATAAATCGTTTAAGAGAAACTCAATCTATTACATTGCCGTTATCTCTTTTCAAATAATACTCATAGATTTAACCCAAAAAGCCATTGAATTGTCAAATTAAGAAGTGTGGAAAGAATGTAAAAGAAGCCCAGAACAATTTGATTATGCTCTAATGAAGATTAGACGAAATTAATCAAAGAAACTAAATGCATGCATAGATAAGGTTAAATTACTAACGTGTACCTGAATTCAAGCAAGAAATTATATTCAAAATATTTGAAAAATAACAAATATAAAATATACCAAATTATTAAATCGATGATAATAATGCAACATCATATGGGGAAAATCCATCCAATTCTCACCAAAAAATGCCCAAAATCTCACAAGTTTGCAGAGAGAATAGTTGACAGAGAAGATGTAAAGTAAGTAAGTGAGGAGAAGAGAAAATAAGTCCCGGAAACAAAAAAATGAAAAAGGTAGACAGGTGTCCCCAGAAAAAACAAATTATTGGGCTGCAATACACGTGTCTACCTAGGCTGAAAAATTAAGTTGTTGATAGTACAACTCACGTAACCTTTTGTACTATCAGGTGATGCAGTGTTCGTCCATGTTTGTTGGCTTATAAATAATAGTAATTAGTAATATATATATATATATATACACACTAGATTAGCAAGGCCCATGCTCACCAGCATAATTAAATTGTTTTTCTAGCTAAGCCCAAACAATTACACTACAATTGTTCCTTAATAACATGATATTGAAAATGAAATATGAAAGTTTCATCAATCAAACATTCTAAAATCTTTGTAGCACTGTAAAAACCTTCACCCAACATGACCAGGCATATGATTATTTAGTTTCATTCTATTACCTACCGGCAAAAGCTTCAACAATATGAAATCCAATAGTTGGTTTCATTGGGAATAATGAAATTTGGACTAAAGAAAAGCTTTCACATAAAATTTGTTAATGTGAGTAATACAAAGAAATCAGTTCCATTACATAGACAAACGTTGACGCCTTTTCAAAAAATTTGTTCATTTTGGCACCCTCTTTATGAACAGTATTTTCCATAAAAGCTTTTGGTTCGGGTTCATCTTTCGTAGAATTCTGTAATTAAACTTTAAAGTTCGTCTTTCTATCCATGTTCGGTTATGTGCAAGCACAATGAATCATAATGGACAAACATGAGTTCTTCCATGCACATCTTTTCACCATTCCCTTGAGAACTGTAATTGCTTCTATTACTGCAAGTTGTGAACAATATGAAACTTAATGTTTCCAACCAAAAATACACTAAAGAAAAAGAATCAACTATTACTCTGCACAATAGTTATTAGGTAGTCAAACACTCACAAAATTGTGAAGTACAATAGAAGAAAAAAAATAAAAATATGGGCAGTATAAGTATGTACATTTCTAAAATTCTCATGTCTTTTTTACTTATAAAACAAAGATAAAGGAGTATGGATGAAATTTTTTGGACTTGCTTCTTCTTGCCCCATCCCAGAGAGAGTTAAAAAAAAATTGACTACTTCACTTGTAAGAGAAGATGTTTTCAACAAAAGAATGTTTTAGGAAACCTTGTTTTAATTTGTTGCAAACTTATCTGAGCAATTAGTCTTAAAAGGACCTTCACCCAAGTGCAATCCAATGGCTACTATTCATGTGCATTTCACTTCTCTTTTTCATTAAAAACAATCCTTCCTTTCTAATGTTTTATTTGTACCATTCTTATACTCATATAAGTTTACTTGATTCACATGCCAAAAAAGAAAGATATCATAGCAACAATACATATTATCAATGGAGATATGGTAGCATTTACTTACTTCAAATAGATGTATGATTCTAAAATCAACATGTCCTTCTCAAGTCTCACTTTCTCTTTTTCATTGAGAGGAGGGTGAGCAACTTAAAATCTACTAATACATAATATTTCAACTTATCCTTCAGCTGGTCTTATAATAAGCTCTCAAACAAGTCTAACGATTATTCCCTTCTTGCTCTGTAAAAATTGGCAGAAAAAGAGAAAGTGCAAAAACATCTTAGTACATAAAAATGATTATTATTTTATCAAGAGTACATAAAATAACTAATGCAATCCAGTTTGTTGGGTAATCCAATAACTTTAATCAGTTTAGATGGCTCTACTTCTCTTTTTGTTTTGAATCTAAAGTGATGTTATAACTTGAACTTCTATTTTTGAACTTAGTACAAACTTCTTCAGGATTAAATTCAATAACATGATCTGAATACAATAAAGTGCACCGAAAGAAGAGATGGAAACTTTTGGTGACTGAGCTTATCCCTCAAACATAAATGTAATTATCACTCAATTTAGAGATACCTCGAAAATTAGGAAATTGTAAACTGCCTCTAGAAGGATAGCAAAAACATTTGGCAGATTATTACAGGTGAGAAAATGTGCAACATACTGTGTCTGAATCTCTCATGGCTTATCTATGACTTACTATCGTGGAAGATACAGTTTCCACAAGAGAACCAATCTCCCACATTTATATCCAAATGCACCATTTAGCTCTAGAAAAAATCTTTCCTATTCTGATACAAAGTAAACTTTCATGTTGTTATTTAAAATTTCAATTAAAAGAAACAAAAAAACGAAGACAAAAGAAAACACTTATCCTGCACTTATTCTTATCATGTTGGGCATCAAGTTAAAACCATACTCCTGGGCCCGTGATATATCTACCCAAGATTGAAAAGTATAGAAACCATCAAACATGAAACTCATAAGGGATGTTATTACTTTGCTTTTAACATTTGCAATATCAGCACAAATGCAATAACAGAGTAATTCACGTCCAACTAAATTGATTGCTGGAATGGTGTTCACAAGTAACAACTAAGCAACTGAGAGGTACTGATCATGGCAAGATATTCACTCGTCTTGACATTCTAAAGACAGAAGTAAATTGAAGCATTGAATGTCATTGATTCAAATCTACAACCTTAACAAAAGCTAATATCCTTTCCTTTGATCATTTTGAAGCTACAATAGGAAAATTAACATGGATCATCATAACTTATGCAACAAATGGCATTCCCAGTCCCAAAAGTCACGTCGAGTATTTAGTTAGAATACCAACTCTATATACCTTTAGTATTTAGTTCTTAGAAATCCAGAAAGAGTGGGATAACAACACACATTAGTTTGTGAAGGCAAATATTGTTTTATAGAAGATTCAAAGTTCTTGCAAGTTCCTTTAAGCAGCAAAATGTACTTCTTACAGCTTCGTTCAAAAGTTGCATGCTGCACATTACCAGATAGAAAATGAAAAAGGTGCCAGAATGCTAGATTACAGATGAAGGATTCTGTAATCACTCACTTGCAGTTCTCTATACCTTGTCTTAAATCTTTCCAGTACATCTTTAGTAGTGAATTACTAACTCTTAACAAAGCTTCTAAATGATAATTTCCTTCGTATATCTTTTGAAAAGCTAATCATACATTCAACTTCTAAGTGAAGCAGAGGAAATTTAAAACAAAGAACAGGAAGCATATTATCACTCTTTTGGCAAGAAACAATATGAAACTCCAGCAGAAACTCATTGATGAATGAACATATATATGTTTGGCATGAAGAAGATATAGAACAATACAGATCATACATGTAGCCTATCATGAAACGCACAACGATCCCCTTTTCTTGCTCTAATCTATATAGCTTTGCACCTATGCAAACACACAGAATGTTGTCAAAGGAGGAAGAAAATGAAAATGGAAGAAGTATATACATCAATAATCTTGTAATTAACACCTTGAGGCATCCAAGTCTGTCTAATAGAATCGCGCCTTTTTCTACTACTGAAGGTGGTGTTTATCCCAATAACCATAAATGTTTTCTTTCTCGGCCTACATCCTCCAGAATATGTGCTCAAGAAAGGAACCTCTTCAGTTATCCGTGGAATTAGAGGATCCTTAGTTGAAGGCAACTCACTTTGAATCTTAGAAATTGAATCATCCAACGATCTGTTCAATGCTCCGATAAAGACAAGGACCATCAAGAACAGAACTAAGTAAAACATCATGATAAGTTTTGAACAACACTTCCTCTCTACTTCACTTTTTACCATAAGTTTGTAAAACAAGGTGAAGCTCACAAACAAATTATAAACATATTTCTTATGTGGTGTAACATATGTTGTCATGTTAAGTACAAAAAATAAAGTCTAAGGTAATCACATTAAAACTATGAAACTCACTGGATAGCTACTTAGGCTTTGTTAAACTCTCTCATCATCTTCTCCTTCTGCTCATAAAACATCATCCATATTTAGAAAACTGCAATAATAACTATAACAATGACAATACAAAAGTTCTATTCTTTGTTTGTTGGGGGGGTGGGGGGTTGGACCTGACTATTTTTGGTTTCACAATCATCAGAAACATAAGGCAAGTCCTTTTCTTGCGTCTGGCGCCTTCCAAATATGTTCCTTCCATCTGATTCTGGAGGAGTCCAAACTCTAATTATACAACAACAAAAAAAATCTAGGAAAAGGCATAACTGCTAGTCGGAAAGGCAGGGATCCTATACTATATCGTAAAGATAGAAAACAAAATGAATTTTACCGTCTTATCAACATCATCTATTAGCACAATTAAATAATGTATTAGCACCATTCATTCCAGAATCTCATAAAGAATAGTATACAGTAACAAAAATGTCCACTTTCACTTATGCTTAGCTTTTACCACTTAAAGAGGATTATTTTTTGTCGTTTACATCTTCAGCTTCACATTTATTTCTTTTTTCACACCTCAATTTTCGTGATTTCTTAATTTGTCTTTCATAGTTTTACATGTGTTCGGTCAAGAGGTCATTTTACTTGCACAGAGTTTTCAAGGTAATTGGCATTTTCTTTTTCGTCCAGAGTTGTTGATAGTCAAATAAGAAAAGTCTTATTAACCTATTGCTAGGGAATCCTGTCAATTCACTGTCAACAAAACATAAAGATCATCTAGAGTATCTCATAAATGCCTCTATCTTTGCACATTGTTGTTTGACATAGACATATATTTACCTTGCTACTCAAAAGATGGACAAAATCTCATGTGGGACACAAAATACTGTTTGTTTTAGGTAGATTAAGTATGTGAAAGAAATTAACATAAGAGCAAGATGTTATGTCATTATAACCAAAATATACGCTTATTTGAAGTGATAAAGAACACAAATATCTTAGTATTTAGTAACCTGCAAATCAATAGTCGAAAGAATATAGTCTTTTCTGTCTTGACATCATAGTATAAACACGCCACAACTAACAATTGAAGTTTTTCAAATTTACTTCCCAACAAATCCCAAGATATCATAGTAGAGGCAATCATCAATTTTCAAAACTCAATAGAAAAAAGTGCTAAATGAAAGACGAATTGCACATTACATCTATATTGGACTTGTAAGAATTCATAGAAAGATCTAATAGAGTTGGGCGAATAAATATACTCAAACCCCAAATTTGAGCCGAAAAGGTACACAAGACGAAAATCATGTAGAAACCAAATAGATGACGACTCTTATATAGATTAGTACCAGTCCAATCAAAATTCTAGGTTCAATTAAACGACATATTACTTACTAATATTGTCTAGTAGTGCTAAATAATATAGCTCTTGAATTGGTGAATGCTATGCAAGGTATAGAAGTCCTGTGTTAAAAAAAAGGAAGGAAAAGAAACATAAACTTCTTTAGTTACTTTAGGCATATCAAACATAAAATTAATTCATAAGTAGTGTTTGAACAAACAATTAATCTCCTGTAAGGAATGAACAAAGAAGCATGACGGAAGAAAAAACAAATATATGTATCACCCATTAAAAATTATTAAATGACAGACTTGATTGAAAGAAAAATAAGAAGAAAGGCTCAAATCTAGATACATAAAGAAGTCTAAAATAAAAATAAAATCAAAGGTATTATTTTTAGAGAAATTCAAAATTTTACCTCCATTTGGAAACATGATCAACCTTTTTAACTTCAAATGGAAAGAGGCCATGAAAAATGGATATAAATTAATAACAATGAGAAAAGTACTAATTTATCAACAACAAAAAAAAGGGTCCATTTACCAGCGGAGTACTCTCATGGCATCATCCATCATCTTCAAAACATTACCAAAGAATTGATTAAAATAATAATATTAATTAAATGTGTCAAGACCTGAAAACTGATCTTATAAAAGGGCTACTGGCTACTATTGTGGCCAATCCTTTTTGCCATCTTTTCTTCACATCTTAACCACTGAAATACCACTACGACTTTTATTTTAGTTCTCTGAGGGTTCATGCATTTTTATTAACAAAAGGTGTGTCTTATTTACTGACATTGTGAAAACACTAAAGTAATGAGCATTAGAGTCCTTCCTAGAGATAGAATATTAAATGAGAATACTATATTTTGAAAGTATCTTCTCGCAAAATTTTCTGTTTTTTGTTCATGAAATTAAGGTCCTTCACATGTAAATATCTTCTTTTGACTAATTATATGTGCTATACATCAAAATGTCATTTGAACCTTGTGGTCTTAAACATGTCACGTAGAATAATAAAATTTAAGAGTTATGAACATAGAAAAAGACATTCTTTATTAATAAACTTAAAACGAAAGTAAGACACATAAATTGAAACCAAGGGATTGTTTTACTTATCCTAACAGGGCAATCATGGAAATGCATTCTGAGTACGACTGCAACAATATATAAAGCTTTTGGAACTTGCTGCTGATTTTTTTTTATATCACCTCTCAGACAACACTGGCTCAAGAATAATAGTTGGTAAGCTCAATAACGATGAAGTAACTGAAATTAGAGAAAAAGAGTGCAAGAATAAGACTTTGTATTGCAAGATTTTCTTTTTTTATTTTCAGAACTTATAACAATTTGCAAAATAGAGGTTATCTCACAATTATTGATTAAAAAATTGTTAAGGTGTAAGCTCTTACTAATGGTAATCTATACATTCAAGTTTAAATACTCAAAATTTCTTCATATTGATTGCTACAGAAAGTATCACCTGCCAATTATGTATGATAAAAACTACTCATTTGATAAATTCTTAAAGCTTAGTATCTAATTGCAGCATATCTAAAGTGTCATAAGCCAATAATGTTGAGCTAGTCAGTGTGTATTGAAGTACGAAAGTCCAATATACTTTTGCAATTTATTTTTACCTAAGCTACTGAAATCATTCATGAAAAATAGAGGAAAACATAAACATACGCCAACTAGATCACACCAAAAATTAGGGGTCAATAGAAAAAATAACTGAAAGAGGACCCGCGTCCGCCAGAAAGTTATTTAACAGAAAATTGAGAAACTTCACAAGAAATCCAAAAGTGAAGAACAAAAGGAGGAAAATTGGAAGATGAAGGAGCAAATGTTTATGCAAATTTTTTTGGTTAAAGAGCAGCAAAATGATGCAAGTACCCCCAATTGAAATACATGTCTGAAAGTACGCTAGCTCAAATTCCAAACACTGATTTATTAGGTTTGTTGTTTATGCAGTATAAAATAATTTTCGGCAATTGAACAAAAAATTCCAATATCCTTGCTAAACTCGTGAATCAAGTAAGACTGACCAAAGTAAAATACAGAGTCCAAATTTTCCTTAAGATACCAAACTGAGAATTAACTAACAAACCTGCGGTAAAAGATTGCTCCTCTCCGAATGCTTTCTCGTCCTCTCTGGGTCTGAGTGAAAATTGATGGACATGCAAGAAAAAGAATGGAGAAATAGAAAGACCTAGAAGAGAGCAGGAGAAACCAAAGTAGTCAATCATAGGTGAATTGCTAGAAAAATGAAATAGTATACACGTGTTGGTACAATTAAATAAGCCCAAATTTATGGTACACTTTACAAAGCTTATTGTACAATCAATATCTGTTGTGTTCGTCCAACAAAGTCCCATTTCTATATATATATATATATGAGATAGTAAAGTAGAGATTAATCATAAGTGAATCTATCTATTTATTTAATGCATATATTAATTATGCGGGTTTCTAAATTGTCAACCAAACATCATATTAATTTTATAAAAAAAATATTTTCTTTTTACCTACCAATTAAATATCATATAAATATAATATCAAAATTTATACATAAATAATTTGTTTCTTATCTAACTACTATACTAACTCCATATGTTTAAGTTTCATGATATGCACTTGTTGTCAATGTGGAGCCAAAACGTATAATTATGATATTGATAAAGCATCACTTTCAAACTTTTTAATGAATTTGGTTAAACTAGTATTTGTTTTAGAATGGTAATAACTTAATGAGAATTAGATAAAATAAAAATAATGACACAATAATTTTACGTAAAAAATATCCAACTCACAAAGATGAAAAATCAAAATATTCTTATTTATATATATCTAACATGGTATCATAGTCATTTAACAATATCGTGATTGTGTTTTATATGAATCCAATTTCCTCTAAAAGAAATGAGAATACCTACTCTCAAACTTGAACTAGTTTAATTGTTGTAAGAATCATTCTCATTATCATTATGGGTCGTTTTGTAGGGTGTAAAAGATAATAATGAATATGATGAATAAGTAATGTTGAGATTTAGTTATATTGTTATTAACTTTTATTGATGATTAGTTGGTTTGTTATATTAAATGAATAAGTTGTATTTAGAAATAATACCTTGCATTGTTAATGTCATGATTTATTATGTTTAAATGAATAAGTTGTATTAAAATAGTATTGAATATGTATATCTCTAATATATATATAGTAGTATTTGATTGCTTCGATTTCAAAGTGGTGAATCGACATGAAAACATTGTTATTGTTTTTTAACCATCTAATATATGTATTGGAGCCTAATTAATTTAAATTTGTGTCATGTAAGGTCTCATAGTGAGGAACCACTTCTACTAATAAAAATCATATTCAAAATTAAAACCTCTAATTCAAAAAAAAAAAAAACAACTCCCTCCATTGCATCATTTCGATGGGTAACAGTTATCCACCAAAACTCTTAATCGTGATGAGAAATTTTATTTCAGCAAAAGAGTCTCAACCAACTTAACTTCTATGAAGCTCTCTTATTACTTTAAAACAAGTGGACTTATGGATCTCACTTGCTTCAAATCAATAAAATATTATCGAAGATGACAAAAATTTTAGAGTATATGTTGAGTAAAATAGACGAAAAGTATATGCCATTTTTTTACCCCCACCCTACTCAAAAAGGAACTGGAATTATTTTTAAAAAAATTACTCCCTCTGTTCCATTTTATATGTCATCCCTTTCTATAAATAGTTGGACCACAATACTTGTCATTTTATAAAATTTATGCATAAATTACCATATTTTGCCTATTATACCCTTGATAGAATAGTTAATTAATTTTTTCATTTATTAATAAAGAAAACATTAAATAAGGATAGAAGGGTAAAGTTATATTATTTCTTAATGCAAGTACAAAATAGAAAGGTGACATATAAGAACTTATCCTAAACTCTTATATTTTAGATAATAATCACTACAACAAAAATAATTTTTAGCGGCAATAAATATACATATTAACAAAGAGTGATAAAGCTTTTACCGACATTAGTTAAATGTCATTGGATCTAGTGTCGCTATAGGCTTTAGGGACATTTACAAAGAGTGTTAAATACCGCTAATATACATTTTTAGTGGCAATTAAACTACTATAGTTAATTAATTACCGCTAAAGATCATTTTTTTTATACAGTGAATCCATCTATTTATGACCCCCCCCCCCCAATTATTCTTATCTACTCTTTCAGTCATTTGATCTCTGGAAATGAATGCTTGCAGTAAAAAGATTGTTCATTAAAAAATAGAAAGATTATATTAATGAATACTTATTACTAATGTATTATTGTTTATTTTTCATTAATAGATTTGTAATTTAATGAATTATAGCAGTTAGTAGTTGTGTTATTAATAGTTTTTATTAAAATATCATATTATGATTTTAGGATAATGTATTATTTTTAATATTTATTACTAATGTATTATTGTTTATTTTTTCATTAATAGATTTGTAAATAATTGAAGTTTAATGAATTATAGCAGTTAGTAATTGTGTTATTAATAGTTTTTATTAAAATATCATATTATGATTTTAGAATGATTTATTATTTGAATCAATATAAAGATAATAATTTTGTATTAAACTCATGAATATTTTTTAGGATATAAGTTATATTTCATATTTTCAAACAAAAAAAAGGTGAAATATATTATTTTCAAAAATTATAATCAAATATATTTCAAAACTTCAATTCAAACTTTACCTAAATCTGATTTCTCAAAAATATTTAAAAAGTGCTCGATGGCCAGAATTATTGGCCATAATTTGGCCAGAATTGTAAAAAGACTAATTTAATCTTTTTCCCTTTTAAAGTAAAGTCAAATCTTTATTACTACTATTTCCTAAGCTTCTAAAAATACGTGTGAACAATAATTATTATGTTTACCGAATTAGAATTATTATTAATTGTGTGAAGGAAATTATTTAATGGACTTTATAATGTGGGACCCATTACAATCTAACTTCACCTTCTTCTAATTCTTCCTAATTCACTCTTTCTTTGTTCCTTTTTCTTCATCTTTGTTGTCATCCTTTCTCTTTTCTTTTCCATTACATGTAAAATTAAATTATACAAATTCTAATTCCATAAGATATTTTTTGGATACAGTTTATCAATGATTTTCTAATTTTGAACTTGTAAATAACATTTATTTATTTCTATTATATACAAATCATTCAATTCTAAAATCAAGCACACAAAAAAAATATTCGTTAATATCTAATTTCATAACACAAAATTTGTTGGGGATAATATTACATTTTTTTTCTTTATTTTAATTTCATTATAGTTTATTTAATACACTTTCATCAATATTAAAAAATAATATGATATGCTTATTTTTTTTCTTCACTAATATATTCATTTGAATATTATATTTCAAAAAATAAAATACTTATTTGAATATTATATTTCATAATCATCTTTTAAAAAATAAATAAATATATTTTTATGATAAACTTTAAAGACTATTCTTTTCGGATGATAACAAATCTTTTTTTAATAAAGTTTGTACTTTCATGTGATAAGTATAGAAAGATAAGTTCCGTGTGATAAATTTATTAGTTAGATGATTTTATGTATTAAAAAAATAAGAAAGTAATTTTTCGTGTTATAAATTCTTTTGATATTTTATTGTGAAAATATGACACAACACTATAAATAAGTTAATTACATACAAGGTAATTTTAGAAACTTCCTTTAATGTGATACTTCTCACAAAGTTCAGTAATATATTTGATACTTCTCACATGTGATTTGTAATACCCTATGTATTTACAATTATTCTTGGTACAGTGTTAGAGGTTTAAGAGTCTAAATTTAAGAAAAAAAAATTTGTTTGTTTAGTTGTTACATCGTTCGTGTTTAAAAAACATAGGTTTTAAGTTGATATTGATACGAATATATTTTTAGTTTCTTTAAAAAAATGTCCTAAATATTTATAAAAAAGTTCATTAGTCATGATAAATTGTATGTGTTTTATATTGTAAGAATTTGATAAATTATTAATAATTTAATGAAGATATATATATATATATATATATATATTATTTATTTATTTTTATTTTTTTTTTATCACGAACCTATTCAATATCCTAAATACATGCATAATGCGATAAGAATTGTTGAAAGTTGCCACCTCCACTTCCACGTGGAAGTGGAGTAGTAGTACTACAATATGCATTCCATATTCAACATTTCAAAAATTGGAAATAAATATTTTATTAATATAACTAAAGGAGTTTTTTTTATATACAATAATCACCGCCTTTCACATATTTATATGTATAAATATAAATCCCTTTAGAAATACTACTACTATTCTCATTTTCACCTTGTGGAATATATACAACAACATTTATCAAATTTTCCTAACCAAGATACATGTACTTAACCTACTA